TTCTGCGTTGTTTTAATTAATTTATTTCTATATTATTGCAGAGGACTTGGACTAGTTGGCTCTCAGAGGTCTCTTCAACTCTAAGGATTCTATGATTCTGTTTATTTAGGTTTATAACTAGTTGGGATGACGGAGCAAGACATTTAACTATGCTGAGCTACACTAACCACTGGGCTCTTGGAATGATAACTCCAAAGTAGAAGATAGGATTGCATTTCTGGGGATATACCGTATCTGTTTTCAGTTGTTGTTTTTTTTTTGTTGTTTAGGTGGAGATTGGTTAGGAAACAGCTGTGATTAGGGAACAAATGGCTTGATTGTGCTTGTCTTGCTGGAGAGGTCACCACTATTTTAAATTTTTAATGAAAATTTGGAGAATTGAGGAACGTGCTAACTGGTTGCAATGAAAATAATACATGGGTTTCCGTGTTTCATTTTTTGTTTGTTTTTTTTTTCTTTACAAGGAGAGTGGTTAGGCCCTGGAATGGGCTGCCCAGGGAGGTTGTGGATGCCCCGTCCTTGGATGTGTTTAAGGCCAGGTTGGACGGGGTCCTGGGCAACCTGATCTGAATGTGTGTGTTTGGTGGCCCTGTTAGGCAGGGGGGTTGGAACTACATGATCCTTGAGGTCCCTTCCAACCCGGGTGATTCTGTGATTTTACTGTATTCTCATTTTCAAATCAGTTCAGCCCCCAGATTTGCAAAGTGCCCAGCAAAATCCTGTTTCCTTGCACAGTGAGGTATCTACTCAGGAAAACTATTGCTTTGTCACTGTGGGTGCAGAGCAGTTCAACACTGAGCTGAAAATCTTTCCATCAGACTTGGTGATCAGGAGATGTGCATGCAGCTGCTGATGTGTGGGAATCTGTTTGGTCTTCCTTCAGCAGACCATCCTGTAGCACTAGAGGGAAAGCATTAGCTCACCTTCTCTCTCCCAAGCTGCTCAACTAAGCTAAGGACTTCCTTTGTGTCACCTGGTAATTGAAATGGATTTGAGAAAACGATATTTTCCCCCACATTCCTTAACAGCTTGTTTAGTAACAGCTAGTTGCATGGCTGCGTAGAGTTGTTTAGTTCTGTATGCTGCAAGAAAAGCTTTGTCTTCTAGTATTTATCAAGTATTTATCACTTGAGCTTATACCTTACTCTTCTTCCAGTATAGAACACTACAAATGGTGTAGTGTTTGTTTTTATCAGTCTTGTTTTTCACATTTGTGAGTGTCTAACTACTCATTCCTAAAGGATTCTAACTTATTCAGTCACAAAAACACATTGTCTTAAATATGTATTTTAATAGTTGGTAATTCATGGCAATTGCCTGAAAAGCTCATCTATAGTGGGGACATGGATAACAAGTGGATGAACTTTCAAAAAGCATCTGTAGAGTTTGCTGTGGAACTTTGTTCATGGTTGAAAAGTGGAATTGGAGAAAAAAAAAAAGACATTTCTGACCAATGCTGTTGCCCACACGCTCTCCTCCTTTCTGTGTAAAGGGAATGGAACAAAACAGTATCAGTGGGATGGCTCTGAAGTACTGCTGGAGTGCCATAAATTGAGATGGAACTAGCCACTGCCTCTGAGTGACTTCTTGAGTCTCCACTGGTGATGTTTTATATTTGAGAGCAAAAAAGATAAGTTGTCTTGTTAAAGATGTTATCAAAATAAAGATTTTATGTCTGTTTGAATTAAAAAGGGGACTTAATTCCTGAAAGTTAGCTAAGCAGTTAATTTTGTTTTTTGTTTTTTTTTTTTTTTACAGGAAATCTGAATTTAATAGGATACCCCAGTGAAATTCAAGGGTGTGAACAATAAGCATAATATTTTATGAAAATGACCCCCATATTTAAAATCTGGCATTATATGTTATGCATTGTAGCACCAAGTCCACATCTACCTTTTAGAAAATTAAAACACATAAATTCTGTTTAGTGTTTGATATGCAGTGCACTAGCTGAAAGCCATAATGCCCCTAAAACCTTGGGTTGCTTTTCACCTTTCATAAATTCCTGGGTAGATTCTATACAAAAAATAATTTTCAGCTCCGTGGCTCATTGTTATTCAAACTTGATTGATCGTCGTCATTTACTCAGTGAGGAAGTTAAGTGCTCCTGTCATTTCCGCAGAGTATAATTGGGACGTTTCACAGGTCAGCGGCAGTGACAGGTTTCCCTTTTGATTAGTGTTAGACTGATAACAAAAATTACAGTTTCCTATGATTAATGTTTTCCATAGTACTCGAATGCACAGTTCATGGATTATACCTAAACAAAGTGAATTTGCATCTGATTATGCCTTCTCTCCGTCAGGCTGTTCACGTGCTCTAAAGTTTGAGAGCATGCAGGTAATACAGGAAAGTTGCTTCCAATGCAGTTTTCAAGTTGAGGGTTAGCAAAGCATTCTGCATGTTAGTATATTATGTTCAGAGGTCTATTCATCTCCAATAGCACGTGAAAAAAGAAAGAGGAAATTTCAGCTACAGATGGAATTCTTGTGGATTCTTTCTGGTCCTCTCAGGTTGTCATGCACACGAGTGCTTGTATTCTACCTTACGTCTATTAAGTTAAATGTTCTGTCTGAACTGAGTTTTCTTTTGCTAGTTTATCATTATTTCTTGGTTCCTTATACTTGTTGCTGTTGAGGTGTATTCAGAATGCTAAGTAAAAGCCATGGAAATGCAAAACAGAGAAAATAACAGTGCAAAGTGAATGTTGTTCTGCTTTTATGCTATGGAACAAACAGGCTAAGGTCTTCCATAGCAAGTTTGGGCTTGGCTTGATCTTCTTTAATAGCTAAATGAGAAGTGAAACCTGCATATGGAAAATTAAATGTTGCTCTGTTTCTAGCTGGAGGAATAGTAATGGGTGTTATTGACAAGCTTCATTGAATTACCCCTAGCAAATAACAAGGGGTAGCAACACAAGTAGAATTTTAAAATCAAGACACAAACTACCGTCAGTCTTTAGCCCTCTCGTGGTGTGCAGAATACAGAGCTTTGTTGTTTTCCTTTCTGAATACCATTGGGAAGATTTTCTAAAAGTTGCAGTGTAACACAGCTGCTCTTCTTTCTCATGTTCAGCCTTCACAAGTTTTAGTGGTAGAATATTTGACTTTATTTTTTTCGCATTAGAATTCTATTTTGATTTCTGCTGGAGATCAGATTCAGCATGAGTCTGTCTTGGCCATGCCAGGTAGGGCCTGAATTGCATCCTTCCTTTAGATGAGAAGAAACAATTGCAGTGGGATTAAAGTAAGCTAGGATGTAAGGTAGGGATCTTCCACGTAGCCCAGCAAGTCGCTCGTTGCCGATGGGAGGTAGTGGCAATGGGGCTGTGTTGTGGGTGTGCTGCTTGTCTTTGGCAGCAGGCTTCTTTCAAACATGGTTGTGCTAGGACTTTATTTCAAAATAAAGACTGTTTAGGTATTCTCTGTGTGTGGTAGCGTGGTCTGGTAAATGTGTTCTGTTCTTCAAGAGAGTAAATTTTTTTTTTTTTGTCTTTTTTATTCCATCTGGAACTGCAGATCTTAGATCAAAGTCTTTTTTTAAAGAAAAGGAAGAATCATACTTCAGCCTTGTGCCATCTTTTCATTAGAAGTGCATATTAATAGCAGTTAATTTTGCTTATTAGAAATGAGTTTCAATCCAGTTTGCAAGTAACGCTGAAGAAGTGCTGACTTTTTTTATTTTTAAACTATGTTCAATAAATCAAATTGGTTTCTAGTTTTTTTGATTCAGAGTATATGTATGATTTAAAGGAACTCAACTGTGACACACGATTGGAGTAGTGAATTAAATTGGGAAAATTCTGCTGCAGGCAAAACCTGTGGTATCCTCCTGTGTGTTTTCAATGAGTAGTTGGTATGAATATCAACAGCAGTCAGGTATAGCAGGAAAGCAAAAACACAGCTGAAAATAGTAAAAATGATGCAATTCCTTATCTATAGCTTTGGCTTGTTGCAGTGAAGTTGAAAAAAGTGATAGAGAGCTCTGTGAAAAGGTTGCTTTTAGTCAGTACTCCCTTATTGCATCCTCAACTTATAAAAGTGCATGGCAAGCATATGATAATGTGCAAATCATGGTGTTGTTTATATTTAGGTGACTCCAGAGGTGGACAGAACCTTCAGCACTGGTACCTTTTAACTGGTACCTTTTAGGCAACACTTGTATTTCATATGTGTAGTTCTGATAGTACAGACCTTGTTTGAGGTCTCACAGATTCTTGTACCTTTCGTGCACTATGGCAGAAATAAATCATTTTTAGGTGTGAAACAAACTTAGAACAAATTGTAGAGGCTTGCTTGGCCATATATAGCAGTAGCTGGCTGAAATGAAATGTAGGAAGCCACTTACGTGTGTTAATTGACCTGGTTAATTGGTAGAAACTCCATTTCTATGTTTCAGCTTGTCAATTATGTTCTAAAATTTTTTTTCTAGGCTTTGTGCATATGAATTTGTACTGTCAGCATTGTTAGTGCTGCTGCAAAGCAACCCAGTTAAACACTAGCGTACAGATGTAGCTGCATGTTCTGACTTCGGTCAGTATTAGCTGTCCAGTCCATCAGATTCCTGTCCCATTTGTCTGCTCTGTTTATGAACCCTTGTGATACTAGGTAGCATGCCATGGACTATTTGAGGGCAGCTGAATGAGTAAAATCAAGCAAAGGAGAAGAGATAAGACTTTAATTTGATCATTAAGTCAAAGCCTATATGTTATTCTAAGATTTTTTTGTTTTATTTTATAATTCCACACTTTCTCAAGCTTCAGCAACTGCATCTGTTGTAATGGATAAAAGAGTCTTTAAAGAAGCCCCTAGGATAAAGTGTGGCTTAAAAGATAAAATGTTAACCAAAGTTCTAATCTTAGATGAAGACTAAATACATAATTAGGAAAATGCTTTTGACATAGAGAGCCTCAGTAGGGCAGTCATGGTGAAATATTTGCAGTGTAAAGGGAAATGAGAAGCTGTCTTTACATTTTAAAAAAATAATAATTATCTCTGTAGATGAAAGCTTCAGATGATGATGATGAAGATGATGATGAAGATGACTTTGTGGAGGTCCCTGAGAAGGAAGGTTATGAGCCCCACATTCCAGACCACCTGCGTAAGGAATATGGTGAGTTTGCCCAGCTGTGAAAGGCTTTACCCTTGCATGTTACTGCTGCACTAAAGTAAATAAACAGCCATTATGAAGTAATAAAGTGATCAGTGGTGTGGGTAATCTCTCTGGCTATGAGGAAGTCGTTACATCGAAAGGGGAGCAGCAGTTGGCTCTAGAAAAATAAATACTTTCCAGGAGCAAGAGCAACTAAGACTTGAAGCTAATTTTGTTCCACTGTGTCCCATTGTAGTTAGAGCCAGAAGCAGCACTGTGTGTGTTTGTGTGTACCCTAAACATGGGGAATGAATGTACTGCAAAGTAAAGGACTGAATATTAGAAATATTGGTAACAGTCTGGTGAGATGGGATAAAGTTTTGTCTCTTGATTAATAGCATGAAAGTCAGTTGGAGATGCACAACTGCTTCCTACCATGGAGTAGCCAACTTACAGCTCTGAAGTTAGGCTTGTTGTTAGGTATTGCTATCACATTAAAAGGAACTCAGCCTTTGAGCAGAGAATTCTAGCCATAAAGCACGTACCAGGAGACGAAATATAATCTTGGTCTTGTCTGCTTTGTTTAAATGAAGCAAGTCTTCTTTTAATCCATTCTAAAGATTATATATACACACACTTGTAATGTGTTTCTGTGAAATTGAGTGAGGGGTAACTGAGGAAAGTTCATATCAATTTAATTTCTGTGCACTACTTCTTGTCCTTTGTATGTCTAACTGATTAAGTGTCTGCAGCTTTGCAGGTCTGTGTAGCGTTTTGCATTTTAAGATTCAGGAGATTTCAGTTTGTTGTAGAGGAGAGGGTAGCTGTCAAAACAATGGAGTTAAAAAACCTTAGACATTAGAGTAAGTTTCTTGCTTGTACATTTCTCTGTAGGTGGTTGTGTAAGGTGGTGTTGTGTTACCTTTTTCAATCCTGTACATGCTTAATTTTTACTTATCTGCAGTTTACGTCATAAAATTCAGGCTCTAGCTCTCTTCTGTATGTGTCAAATGCATCTTTTTGGTGAAACAAGGGTGTGTGTGTCTATGTAAACCCAAGACAGTGTGTCTCAAGTGACCATTTTGTTGTCTTCTGCTACCAAATTTGGTTACAGACAGCAAAAGATTTTCAGTAATGATAACCTGTAGTAGCTGCAGTCAGCTTCCGGATGTCTCTTGGTGTGACATTGGGCCTCAGTCTGTTTTAACATATCTGGATTTAATGTATGAAGACATCTTGGCACCTTTGGACATAAGGCCTGTGCAGTCTGCACACCTGTCTGTTTTCCCCACCTAAGGGCTTGGTCTAAAGGTGTATATCTTCGTTTCTCTGTACCTCTAAAAAGCATGCAACATATCTACTGTATATAGAAGACTGAGATTAAAGTATTGCCCTGGTGAGCAGATGGCTGCAATGTGCTTGGTTTGACTCTTAGCATAGGTGTTGCTTGACACAATCTACAGACATGTACTTTGTCCAACCAAAAGTTGGGAAAGATGGAGTACTAGGAAGCTGAGTGTGTTGAGGTAGCATTGTGGTTGGAGAGTGGAGCTGAGTGTATTCATTGAAAGTGATCGCAGGACAGTGGTGGAGACTGTAAGACACACATAGCAACTGAGCAGCTTCTCTTTTTTCTTCATGCTAACAAGATACACTTATTTGAGAAGACACTGAACAACACGTTGGCTATCCTAACTGCCTTAGTCATGCAATGAACACTAAGTTCTGATTATTGCTAGTAGTGGAACTGGCAGCAGCAACAACAAAAAAGAATATAATGTAAGAAAGGGCTAGCAGCCTTCCAGATAGCTGTGAGAAGTTTCTTATGTACATATAATTAAGGAGAGTCATAAAACATTGGTGATTATAATAAATGAGTAAATGGGTTTAGTTATTACAAGCCTGCCATAACTTAGTGTCCAGTCACCTCACACTAGCACTCCTGCTATCCCAGGATATTTTTTAAATGTCTGTAAAATGCTTTAAAAGAATTCCCAATTTGTATTTCATAGACTCATAGAATCACAGAATGGCTTGGGCTGGAAGGGACCTCAAGGATCATGAAGTTCCAACCCCCCCCACTTGCAGGCAGGGCCACCAACCTCCACATTTAATACTAGACCAGGCTGCCCAGGGCCCCATCCAACCTGGCCTGTTTAAACTACTGCTGATTGGAATGCATCTTACAGTGAGGAAACCAATCAGAAAATGTTACCTATCTCACATTTTGTATGCTTGCTGTTATGTGGGAACTAATGGTCATGGTTGGTTGTTCTTTATCACGTATTTGTTGAAAATGGCATTTTGAACGAAACGAATCATTCCTGGTATTTCTGAAGGCGTTCAGGTTTTCTTGCTGTCATCAAAAGTTATTACCTAAGCTCCCAGTTCAGGAAAGAGTATCTATCCAGGCAGTTCTATGCATGTATTGGTCCAACTCATCAGTTACTAGTTCAAAATCTATTTCAGGAGCCAGTATATAGCTACTGCATAAACAAAATGACTCTTATGCAATTACTTCAGGTCTGCATGAGTACAGTTGATAGCTGTGTAAAAATTGACTTTTGCATGCATTTTCCACAAGTGAAAACAAAGTAAGCATCCCTTTGGCTAGTTTTTCTTTTTTGTTGTTTAGAAAAGTGCATTACCAAAATACACAAGAATGTATTAAGTATAGTGTGTTATCATGGAGAGCTGGTTATGTTAGATAGCTGCATATCTAATTAAATGTGGCTCTTTTTTCCCTGTGTGAGTGTAGTTACCGTAGGGGTTACTTTAGATTTATCATCGTGTAGTCCAGTTGGTTTTTTTGCTATATGTTGTTTGTTCATCTTTAGTTCATGAGGATTCTGAGCTAAGACAGCAGCCTGAATTGCAGCACTGAATCTTCCATGCAAAATAAATTCTCAGTGCTATGGAGAAGATGTGAACAATTTAAAGCATTTTTCTTGTGCTATTTTACCTGAACAAGCCAGAAAAAGTGAACAGCTTCTCAGAAAAAACTGTAAAACCTCCTGGTCATCTACATTGATTGAAACATCACATAGAATCATAGAATCGTTAAGATTATTGATTTAAAAATCACTTTATTTTCCTTCACTTCTCTTGGGAAAATGGAAGTATCCTACCAACAAGGTGCATTTCAAGTTCACATACTGTTGCTGATAATATGTGCATGCGGTTGTGGATCTCATGAGATCTGAAACATTTGTGAAAAATGATATTTAGACACAGGAGGTTTTGTATGCCAGGCACAAATGCAATATCTTTGAGTGTATGTATGTGCATGGAGTTGATCCCAAAATGGATGGTGATATTTAATATATTAGATGAACTGAGGATGGGTGCAGTTTGGGTGGAGAATTAAACGAGTCAATTTGAATTTCCATTTGTATGATTAAATGTAAATTTGTTAAAAGAATTTAGGTGATTAGATAACTGAAGTATGAAGATATAACCCATTAAGGTTGTCATGCCAAATTAGCATTACCAGACTTTTAATGACCTCCCATTTGTATAATCCTTATTTACACTTGCACCTGATGTCTGCAACAGACAAGAGATCAGCCATCCTGTGGTACCACAGAGCCCTCTTAATGTGTTGTGCTGTTAAAGGGAAGGGCTGGACTGAAAGACAAACAATGCTGTGAAAAAATTTGCATTGGGTTGCTCTGGTTCTTATCTGTTGATGTGTAACTTCCACTTGTGTGTGTATGCCAACTACTTAAAAGCTGAGGTGTTCTTTACTTAAAAGTAATCTTTGACGAGGGAAAAAGTACCATTAAAGTTGAGAAGCAATTAAGGAAGAAATGTTTTGCTCAGAGGGTGGTGTGTGTGGTGCTGGAACACCTCTTAGAGAATGATCACTTGTTGATCCTGTAGTTGCATATTCTTCCAGTCCATGTTTTTATTGGTACACACGAAAATCTGGAATTCATGAGGAAAAGGCACAAGCCCTGTGCTTCTGGTGTTGAGTTTACATGTCCAAATACAGCACCTAAATGGATCTGAAATACTGAGTGAAAGACTTGTTTTTACTGCTTACTCTTGAAGGAAAAGAGTTTAATTTTTCTGTCATCAGAATTCACAGAATTGTAGGGGTTGGAAGGGACCTCCAGAGATCATCGAGTCCAACCCCCCTGCCAAAGCAGGTTCCCTACAGCAGGTCGCACAGGTAGGCATCCAGGCAGTTCTTGAACATCTCCAGAGAAGGAGACTCCACCACCTCCCTGGGCAGCCTGTTCCAGTGCTCCGTCACCTCACTGTAAAGAAGTTCTTGCGCACATTTGTGCGGAAGTTCCTCTGCTGCAGTTTCCGGCTGTTTCCCCTTGTCCTGTCTCCACTCAGCCCTGAAAAGAGACTGGCCTCACTGCTATGGCCCCCACACCTCAGGTATTTATAAACCTGGATGAGATCCCTTCTCAGTCTTCTTTTCTCAAGGTTAAATAGACCCAGTTCACTCAGCCTTTCTTCATAGAAGAGATGCTCCAGGCCCTTCACCATCTTTGTGGCCCTCCGCTGGACTCTTTCCAAGAGGTCCCTGTCTTTTTTGTACTGGACACAGCACTCCAGATGAGGCCTTACCAGGGCAGAGTAGAGGGGGAGGATCACCTCCCGTAACTTGCTGGCCACGCTCTTTTTGATGCACCCCAGATGCCATTGGCCTATTTGGCCATGAGGGCACGCTGCTGGCTCATGGCCAACCTGTCATCCACCAGGACGCCCAGGTCCCTCTCTGCAGATCTCCTCTCCAGCAGCTCATCCCCAAATCCCCCCCATTATGGATCTCTGGTGGTAGGCATATTTGCAAAACTTATTGAAAATCATTTTGTAATGGTTTATAAAATGATATAGCTTTGATCAAGCCTAGGATTCCACAGCAGAGAGCTTAATTTTCATGGCAATGGTCATGGAGAAGATTTAGCTGCAGGATGAGTCAGTGAAAGTAAGGGAACACAGAAGGAGGGTGGGTATGATAGTTTGTGTCATGAGCAAGGAACAGCTTCAGAACAGACCATGAG